ATAATTGAAAGCCATGCTTTGGTGCAGGTGTGTTTTGCTTATAAATTCTGACTCATTTAGACAATGGATTGTTGTAGCAACCTAGTCTAAAGCTATAGCTTGTTACTGGCTTGTTTCACTAGCTTCCCACTCAGAAAAGGAAGCTAACAAAAAGAGAAGGAGAAATGTAAAGAGAAGGAAACCATACATGGGGATATGAAGCCAATTTCTTTGACTGTCTGCTATTTAGTTTGTAGCTCAAAAACCAAATCGTGGTACATGGAAATGGAATGTATGCTACAGGACTATGCAAATTTAGCTTATTGTCTTATTTACATTTCATCATACCTTCTGTACCAAATCTTTCAGATATTCCAGTTCTGTTCCAGTTCTAATAAAGATACCTTCTACTGCCACAACCAAAACCCTTCTCCAGCAAGTCTAGCCAAGTATATGTCAAATGTCCAACTGATTTGACAATTGCAAGTTGGATGCTGGAAAGCAAAACAAAGAAAACTGGTTCACATTATCATAGTGCACATGCAATAATATGAAGCACAGAATTTGTGTACTTCAAGTAGGGAAGTTACTGTGAAGATCCAGGCATGTTTCCTAAAGCTGTCTTTTGGGGATCATTTGTATGGAATGCTTTTCACCTTCCAAAATTCCTGAAATGAGAAATTTCTCTATGAATATTACATGTAACAGCTGAGATATTTCTATTCCTCTGCTATTAATATGCCATTCCTCCGCTGAACCAATTCATAAATCAAGAAGAAAACAAATGATGATGCAGAGCCATGGTAACATGGAAGTTATCATTTGAAGTTATATGAAGAGTCCTAGTTACCCATGGCAAGCACCCAAACTTTTGTTCTGCTGTTGCCTTCGGTTAGATAGGTTCTGCAATATTTAAAAAAATAACTACCAGAGATAATAATGGGACAAGGATACTCATTATGCCAGTTATATTTCTTTCAGCATCCAGGAAATGCTGCCATGTATAGAAATGAAGACAAGTGAGAAAAGTGTAGAGATGGAAGAAAAAGGCATTTTAGAACTGTATGTGGGATATAAATATCACTAAACAGGAAAAACAATATATATATATATATATATATATATATATATATATATATATATATATATATATATATATATATATTCCTTGTCTTTGTCTTCCTTTGTTCAGGGCTAACCTTTCTAGGACTGTAGAAAACAGCTGTTCTCCTTCAGCATATCCTATTCAAATATTCCTTCATCTATATCTTAAAGCACTTCACTTCCCATAAATTTTAGGTGATGTATTATATTACTCCATGGTTATTCTTGTAATGATAATCCATTAGGATCAGAGCCCACCTAAAACCCTGTCCATGTTGAAATAATTCTGGTAAAATGAAAATTAACCATTCCTAAAAGACAGCAGCCACAACATTTTAAATCTAGTTTTGACTAAATCATGGGGAACAGATCATAGTGTAATTTTAATAGAAAGAAACTAACAGTTCATATGGGATCAAATAATATGGAAAACCCATCATCTCCATATTTTGCTGGTAATCCTCTCAGATGTTTTTGGCTAGCTGCTACAGAAATACAGGCCTCAGTAAATTATATTTGCTTCTGAATATGAATGCACACAAAAAGGAATGCAATGTGGTATAATGCAACAATAACAACAATTGTATATATAGCTGAATTTGTTGTTATGTGGCTTCACATTAACTCTGACCTATAGCCATCCTATGAAAGGGCTTTCTCAATGGATGCCTTCAAATGTATTTTGTTTTTGAGCTTACTACCTCATTGGAAGAGTCTGCATAATGTAGTGGTTTGAATGTTGGACTACAACTCTGGAGACGAGGGTTTGAATCCCTGCTCAGCCACAGAAACCCCCAGTGTGACCTTGAAGAAGTCACAATCTCTCAGCCTCAGAGGATGACAAAGACAAACCCTTTCTGTGGTTTTAAAATTAGAAATGACTTTGATGCACAAAACAACAACAACAGTTTTGTAAGTGTAAGTGTGGTTTTTCAGCAAGGATTTGCTAACTTTGAACTAACTGTTGCTTGATAAACAATATGGATGCAGTTTTATTCTCTATGGGTTGTTTTCCTTTTTTCTCCACTTTGAAAACTGGGAGTGACTAATGCTCAAGATGGAAGGTTAGTACTTGCTATATGCTTTTAATCTCCCCAGGAGGCCTTGACTGCTATCTAAACAGCCTAGAACTTGTCCCAGAGTCTCTTCAGAGTGACCTGCCCTATTAAATGTCATTGGGCCTTGATCTTGCAGGAATGCTGCACCATATCTCTCAGTACCAGCTACCTCATTGCCTAGCAACACTCAAAACATAGCAAAACCTACAGAAAGTGGAATGTAAAATTAAGAGAGAAGGAAAACTCCACTTGCTCTTAGTATGCAAGTGATGGGAAATATTTTAATGTCCACAAAGTGTTCATGTTGATGTTCATGTTGATAGGGCCACTGCATCCTGCAGATTTTCATGGTCTTCCTTATCTGTCCTGTCTTAATTCTACTATTAGTCTGTATGGTAACACCTTCCTTAGGCCAGAAGAGATCTGAAATGCACACACATATAGAGAGAATGAAAGTGAGAACAATGCAAATATTTGCAGATCTCACCTTCTTTTCTGAATCTGAATCTTCTCAGCTCACCTTCTAACCTGAACTGTACTGTTGGACATGCAAGTAAATCCAGCCCCATTATGGCATTAGACTTGTCAGTTTAAGTGAAAGGTTAAGGAAAAAAGTGGCCTTAGCTCTGTCACATCTGCCATTGCTTTTCTCACATAGAAAGTGATGATCTGAAGAGCAAAGTCTCTTTTGTGAGTAGAGGTTCTCCATGTGTCCCAAAGAGTTGAGTTTTCAGGGTTCTGGAGAAATCAGTCATTAGATTGCACAGAGATCCTCCAAGTGTGGAGAAAGCTCTCCTCTTCAGACTGCCACCCTCCATACGTAGAACATAATGGTGGAGTTGATTGTGCTTCCATGCTTCCTCTTCTTGTCTGTTTTCTTAAATGAGAAATATGATTCCAAATAGTGCTTCCAATACTAGCTGAAACTGCTTAGTCTTGATGCTTCCCTGGTCTATATCTCTCACTGTGGTCAGGTGTTCCCCATTCCTAGTTCTCAAGGTAGGCCAAGACATTTGTCTTCTTGAAGTGAAGGACCAGTCAATTTTCCAAACCTCTTTCTATATACATAATTCAACTGGTCTGGCTGCTGTATCTTATTTTAGCACTGGCAATGAGACAGTGTCCTCCATTGCTTTTGAAAGCATCAGCTAAGTTAAGGAAAACAAATGATCAGATGTAATAGCAATGATAATATCTGTAAAACTGTAAATAATGCATAAGTTTAACTGAGAGGAGCTAATAAAAATTACATTTGCAGTTTGCTTGCTGAGCCAAATGTGTAATAAAATATTTGTGTTTGCTTAAAAAATATGAATAAAATGTGCAATATAATAATAAGAACAATGCTTTAGGAATATAATATAATATAATAAAGAGCAGATTATACTAAAACCAAAAATTTTCTGTATTCCTTTCATTGTCATGTGCATGAACACATATGCACACACAGAGATGAATTACTAAATAAAGTATTTTGAAAAATGAATCATAGTGAGAAATCAAGAACTTCACAACAGTGAAAGGCAATGAGGAGTGACAGGGTTTTACCATCTAAACGCACACACACACATGCACACACACATACACATTAGTACCTAAAGTAACAAATTAACAAGAAAGGCACACAGAAGATTAGGCTAAGATAATCAACAAGGCAAAAGTTCAAACAGCTAAAAGAGAAAGACTCAGAGAGATCAACTCAGATGGCAATCAATAACCACCAAGACCTAGACCACAGCTCTTTCAAGTGTCTGCTACTAACTGTTCTAGCAAATTAATTAAGAGCTGCGGGAGACAATGAACCATACAGACTATACATTCAAGTTGTGAATAAACAAAGCCCAGCCCTTTACCTTCCCCTTTGCTCTACACTGGAGACATTTTCTGGCCTTAATTTTAACTAACTGGATCAGAACAAATCACTCCAAACTGGCCTATGCCTGTATGGAACCAAATTCAGGCTCATTTGATATGATCTGGAGATTGTACAAATCTGTCCAAATTGACCCAATTTGCTTTGTAATTTATGACTTGGCTGAACTGGTTGCATAGCCCTAATTAAAATTATTCTCAGTGGTGCTGTTCCTCTTTGTCACTTGCTTTTGTTTTTCCATCTGGGCTTTTACCCAGTGTTGAAATGTTAGCCAAGTATTCAAAGAATACTCACACTACTTTTTCATTCTCTTGGCACACTTTCTTTTCTTTTCTCAGTGGTGCATTTATGCAATCTTAGACTCCAGGGTCTTACCCACAAGTATGCATATACTCTTAGAGAGTAGTATGTATTATTTTTTCTAATGTGGTAAGCCAGTTCTGCTGCATTTACCATTCATCCTGCTTATTCTGCTGGTTGGAGCCATGGATGTCTACTTCCAGATCCTGCCCTGGTGGCACCATTGTTTCATAAAGATCACACTGCCCTTCTATGAAAAATTCATTGTGTTGCTATTATGCTGTCAACATTAAAGCTGGATGCTACTAACCATACTGCACATGTGTTCCCCCCCACCCCCCTTGTGCATGATGGCATTAGAGATGGAAAGAATATTAACTATAATCTATTTCTGTTGGGGTATGCTGACAGCATAGGATCTAGCATACACACATGCAGAGTAGATGCACATAGGCAGCAACACCCAGAAGCTGTTCTTCTGTGAAGAGTCTTGCTCCAGACGGCACAGGAAAAAACCTCCCACATGCAGGTGCTGCTTTCAGCTTTGAGAAATGAATAGCTGCACAGCAAGGCTTCACTCAATGAGGGCTTTAATCTTTGTTGAGAATATTTACAAAGATACACAGAGTACCAGACATCTGTCTTGAATACTCACAGCTATACAGACTAATAAACTTCTTTGCCAACCACCAACCACAACTAACCAACAACAGAGACTCTGACTCTCCCCCATATATAGGTGGTCCTCTTGAGAACATGTGACAGCCATGTCCTAATGAAACCTAACTGGTTTCATTCCCAGTGCTTGTTGCATCAGGACTGTTGCATTAGGCCTCCCATGATGCATACCTGGCTTGTCTCATCCACTGTGCATGTTGCATCAGAACTCCCATGATGCACAGCTTACCAAATGCTGATTCAAGAACCTGCCACTTGAACTGTAGTAACTCTGTTACTATTGCTCCAGTTCCTTTCAGTGGCCATATCCATGTCATTTTCCAGACCAGGGTGCCATGGGGTCTTGACAGTTTCTTGATTGAAAAATGGGTTTCCTGACACCCAGGAAACCTCATCAGGAAGAATAATACAGTGGTCATATTTTTGCTCGGTTTGAACCCAGTATTTGCATGCCCCAAAGTATATGAAAAATTATTCTGTGCATATGTACATATGGATTTTTTGTGTTAGAATTTTCACATACACCCCCTTGTTTCTAGACTGCCACATGTGCTACTTTTGCAAGATTGCTGTTTTCAGTGAAAAACCCAGCAATCTTCCATAGTAAAAATATTACTGAAAGAAAAAAAACTTGCACCAAAAAACCAGTATTGTTGCAAAGAAAGTATAGCTATATGTCATACGAGGTGGCTATTTTTTTGCATAGAAAATGACAATCTTGTACAAATGGCACAAATGGCTATCTGTGTTCCAAAACACATTGTGATGTGTGAACATTCAGCAAGAAGTACGCAAAAATGTTAATTTTCTCCACAATAGAGAGAAAACTGTGGAAGTTATTTGTTCTTACTTGCAAAGATGACATTAACTTGCTGTGGTCTCCCCATGTGGTTATACTGCCATATGCCTGATTAAACTGCAAAGGGTTAGAAGTTTTAGCAGTCACAATTAGTGAGCTGCCCAAGTGGCAGCACCAGAAATAGAAGCTGTATCATAGAAATTCTGAATTTTAAGTAATACTGACTAGTAAATTTTGGAAGGCTGAGGCATAGCTTCCTCTATAAAAGATAAGCAGGATGATGTCTCAGCACCCCATCTCTGTCTGATAATATTCACTATTGGTGAGAGGCAGGAGAATCAATATGGCACAGTTTCAGAGGCTCTGTTCTTCCACCAAAAAAAGACATCAAAGAGAAAGGAAGATGCCTGCAAGGGGGAAAAAGTGTTGAAAGGAATGCTTTCTAAGAAGGTATACAGTATGTGGGCTTTGCCTGCATGCACAGCAGATTCAGCCTGAACATGAGGCATGATAAAGCAACGTCCTCAGTAGCTATAAGGGAGGGATCATGAAAGTGCAGCAAATTGTTAGGAGTTTAATTTGTTCTTGCTGTATTTTTGCTGGCAGGGAGAGTGAGAGGTGTTTGTAGGATTTTCTGACCCATGCCAAAATAGCTTGTCTGGATTTAGGTATGACATACCCTTGAAATGGGTGAATTGAGGCAGGAGAATATGTTGCTTTATCTCAGGTAATGGGATGCATTGGGCAGCTGTGTGGTAGGATGTGATTGTGGATTTACAGTGTGTGTGTGTGTGTGTATATATATATATATTTAAAGTAGGGTGGCTAAACATTTCCAGGTTTCATGAGGGGGCAGAAATTAGTAGTTTTGATGTATATAATTTTCCTGGGGAAAATATGATTTTATAAAAGTTAGTGTTTCCATATTCTATTTAGTACCACTTATCCCTTTGACTCCTTGCAACAGCATGCTCCACCCACCCAGCTCCTCCTTCATCATATTATTAACATGATCCCACCTAATCAGAGGTCAAAAAGAGAATATCATGATATCACAAAGTTGTGTAGCAAACTGCA